ATTTTAACGCATTTTTCACCATTCGGTCGTTATAGAAAACGCTAACTTCGTAGTCCCCCCATAAAACTGGTAGAAATGTTATGACAAATGTAGCATCATTTAATTTTTCCACTTTATTCTTAATTAATAAATCTTCGTGAAATATGGATATGGACAGTTCTCCTTTGCCAGCCTTACTTACATCCACTGCAATAAAAATAAAAAATAAATTTGAATTATCGAAACGGAATACCTCCAAAGAAAAGAACGCTTTTCTTATTAAATTATTTTCACTTTTTTAAAAAATATAATTTAACCGGAATACACAGAATGTCTACTCACAACGTTATGATAACAGTTTGTAAGGAACAAACACAATCAGAAACTTTAAAGTTGTTAATTTAAACTATATATATATAACTGCAATATTTTTTACTTTTCTGGTATTCTGAAATTCTCTTCAATTTCAACTAATAAAAATTGATTTCATCTTCCCAAATGCTGCAATCTTGTGGGGCCCTCCTTATTAATTTTTGCAACAGTAAAATAATTACTTCCAATAATGACAGTAATTAGTGCCTAATAAAAGCTATAACTTATTCACTTCTAATAATTCGTAAATGCAGTACAATTTTTTTATTGAAGAATCGGTTACTTTATCGTATGCAGGTAGGGTATGAAGCGCCTAATAAGTGTAATACCTACTTAATTTGAATTTGTCGTAAAATTTAAATCTAATGTATAATTTTACAAATTAAAAAAAAAAGGCATTGCGAAATATTGACGATTGCAAATTTTAATTTTTTCTCTATTTTAGAACAGAATCAATGCCAAGATTGGGGTAAAAAACTGTTTATCTTCTGAACCAACATCAATTAGCCTGTTTCGTGGCATTGATTCTGCACATACTGCAAATATTAAAACGTATTTTTATTATCATACCATTAAAAGTAACTGGTCGTGCAACAGTTCCATATCTTCGATTATCAATTTTTATCCGTTTGGTATCGTAAACGTCTACTGTAAAAGATAGAGCAAATTCTTTTTTTACGAAAACTTTGATTTCGTGCATTCCGACTTGCTTCGGGGTGATGTTAATATTGTACATTCTCTTCGCAACGCCCAAAAATACGTAGGCTGGTATTTTAACTCCGCTTGGTGTTTCGACTTCTGCTTCAACATCTTCAATCTTGATAGATGAATCGTTTACAACTATTTTAAAAACTGCTGATGTATCGGCATGAATGAAACGCTTTGTTTCTCCGGATATTGTAACCAACGGTATTGTTGAAGAAGTTTGAGATTTTTCGTTATCTACTTCTTCCATTGATCCTAAATTGTACACAAAAAGAAAAAGTAACTGATTGTAGTAAATTAGAAAATGAACGGTTTTTTATCAGTTCAGTTTAGGTCTTTAATTAAATAATTTTTAAACAGCTGAATAAGTTTATAAATTAGATCTAATCAGTGTGTCTATGAGATATATGATTAATTAAAACTTAGCCGTTTTTTTAATTACCTTCATTTAACTCCTTTTGTTCTTTTGAAATTTTTTTATTCTGATTTTCAATTGAAATATTTCCCATTTGTTTGGAAACGACTTTGTGTTTATTTTTTTCTTGTTCTTTTTCTTCAACTCCAGTTCTTTGTTCTTCTGTATTTCTATTTGAAGGTTTCTTTTTCTGATTTTCAATTGAAATATCTCCTATTTGTTTGGAATCGATTTTGTCTTTACTTTCGTGTTGTTCTTCTCCTTCTGTTCCTGTTTCTCCTTTTTGTTCTTTTACACCGCTATTTGAAGATTTCTTCTTCTGTTTTTCAATCGAAATATCTCCTATTTCCTTGGAATCAATTTTTTCTTTATTTTCTCCTAGTTCGTTTTCTTCTCCCCCTGTTTCTATATTCATATTAGTTAAATCTGTATCTTTTTTTTCACTTAATATATCTTCATTTAATTTCTGATTCATTTTATTTTCATTTTGTTTCTTCTCCTCCATTAATTTAATTTCTTTATGTGTTTTGTAAAATGGGCCTTTTTCGTCAGTTTCATGATCTACATTTTGATTTAAATTCATCTTTTTTTCGTTCTGTTTATCTTTTACTCTAAAATTTAATTCTTCCGATTTATTATCGAGCTTTTTAAGTTTTGTGCCTGTGTCATCCTGCTCTTTTGAATTTGTATCTTAAAATTGATATTTATAGTTACATGTGAACTGTATTCTTAAAATTCTTAAATATATTAATCTATGTTTTGATTAATCACTTCAGTAAAAAACAAATATGATAAAAAAATTTAATAAAAATGTCTAGTCACCAAAAAGATTTTTCAGCATCAACTCAATTACTTGCAGTTTCTTATCCTTGTCAGAAATACGTTCTTCCAATGCTTTTATTATCTCATTTTTTTCCTTAAGTTCTTTCGTGAACTGTTTTAGTTTTTTATTTTTTTCTTTAAGTTGAAGTTCCAAGTTGTTTAGTTCCAAAAATAGTTTTACATTTTCAATACAAGGAATATAATCACCTTTAATATGGAAACAAAAAATAAAATAGGGAACAAAAACATAGGTTTAGATTAATTTACCTTTTGTTAAAGTATACCACATAAGTTTCTCTACTTTGGATAAAATTACTATTACTGACGAATTTAAGATAATCTCATATCCACTTTTATTTTTGTCTATGTTCTTAAAGAGTGGGTAAAAGGTAACTTCGTACAGTTGTTTTTCTTTATTGCCTCCAACACATTTCAAATAGAATTTGTCGTTATCAATTCTACAAAATAAATTACCTAACGATAAGTACAATGCGCTATACAACTTTTTTTACTTATTTATAACTTACTCTACAAGTATATGTTCAGGATTAGTAATTTTAAACACAATTTGAACTTCATCAGCATTCTGCATCCATACAAAGTCAGGTATTACTCCTAATGTTTCACTAAAATAATTTTTAATAAATAAAAGGAACTTATTTGGTCGATATAAAGTGTGTAACAGTAATATAAAAATTGTGGTTTTGAATTGATATTATAGAGTACCTATTAAAATGAATTCAAAGTTTTAAAGGAATTAAAAAAACGGAAAAAATCATTAAAAACCCAAAAAAAATGAAGATTTTCAAACGTCAATAACTTATCAAGATATATTTTATATCAATTTTGAATGCTTCTGCATTAGAAAACAAATCACACTCAAAAATTACTAAATTAATTGAAATCTTATGCGATTACAGGTGATGCTGAAAATCGCGTTTTTTACGGAATTGTAGTTTTAGTTAACAAGTTTTCAGAAAAATTATGCCTTTATACCTTTGCTTCCTGTAACAAAATTATTTTTACATTATCAAGCCCATAAAGATCGAAATAAATTAATCGTATATTTTTGCTTGTACTATATTTTTCATATCGATATCTAGAACAATTGAAATATTCTCGAAAAAAAACCGTCGTGAGGAATAAAAAATTTGCCTTATCATAAGTATTCTTAAAAGGACATCGTAGTACATATTTACATAATAATATATTCTAGAAAACACTCAGAAAATAGTCTATAAATGTTATCTTTGTTATAATTTCATAAAAGAGTAATAAGTTGTGAACTTGCTAGCAATTTGATATTGCATGTAGCAAAAATCGTTTCAAAAGGAACGCAAAACGACCTAGATATTTATAAGTTTTATATTTAATATATCGGAATGAGTAATAAGGCGTATTTGCGTATTGAAAACATCTTATAATTGTAACTACAACCGACTGTGAAAAAATAAACATATCGATAATCTGCATAACTCAGCATTATTATTATACGTGTGTAAATTTATGAAGCAGCTGAAAGATTGAAATACATAGCAAAAGCTGGGTGGAGACTGCAGATTATAAATGTAAAATAAAACTGTTTTTTATGTCCAATAATCGCTAATACTCTATTTTAGCGTATTCGAATTTCTTTTTATTTAAATCATTTTAATTGCAATGCGTATTAATTACCTTTTATGATGGAGTGATATATATCGCGTACCTACATTTTTTTGAATTTGGAAAATTTAAATAGACTTACCCTTTCTTATTAGCCATTTTCCTTATCACTGGTGCTTATTGTACAATTTTTGAATTTCCTTTCCACTTTTTAGTTAATTAAATCAGGAAAAAACTAAATCACTACCATTACTATTGCAACCACATGGGGGTTCCCAGCATAGACAGTCCCAGCTCCTAAGCACACACCATAGATAATGCACAGACATTAGCGGTTACTGGCGGTTACAGTAACAAGGGAGTGGATATTAATTTAATCTTAGCATTCCCTATGTGTACATGGGACTTGAGCGCTACAAAAATGAATCAATTTTTTCTTTATTTTCTCCTAGTTCGTTTTCTTCTCCCCCTGTTTCTATATTCATATTAGTTAAATCTGTATCTTTTTTTTCACTTAATATATCTTCATTTAATTTCTGATTCATTTTATTTTCATTTTGTTTNAGCGGTTACTGGCGGTTACAGTAACAAGGGAGTGGATATTAATTTAATCTTAGCATTCCCTATGTGTACATGGGACTTGAGCGCTACAAAAATGTAAAACAGGAAGTAGAGAGAAACGCGCACAATTCGATTTATACTGTCCAAGACATGCAGAATTTAATATAATTATAAAATAATATTGTTTTAGCAACTCAATTACGGATTATTCGTATTCTCTTATGTTCGATACTTTGGATTCTTGAGTATGAAAGTGATTTCTTTTCAATTTATCGACACTCCGTTGGAAAGATAGCATTAATTTTTTTTACCATTTCTTTAAATTTAAAATTAATTTCTTATTAAACCACGTCTTTATTTCTTGCTAAATTAATTTCTCCCTTATTAAACGAGCTGAAAGTATCAAAATGTATTAAAGTTGATGTGAGGCAACAGGGAAACCAATTTTTTATAGTTGGAAATTATCGGCATGAACTTTCAACCCTCAATTCAAAAACGCCGTTTTTATTTCTTGATATGTCAATTTTTCCCTTATTAAAACGAACTGAAAGCACCAAAATGTGGTAAAGCTGTTGTGAGACGTCAAGAATATTCAGAATTTTATAGTTTGAAACTACTGAGGTGTACTTTCATCCCCAATTTAGAGGCTTCGTTTATCTTCTTATTTCTTGATTAATTAATTTCTCAATCATGAAATGAATTGAATGTACCAAAATGTAATAATGTAGTCGTGGGTGAACACAAACTAAAATTATGAGCAGTAAAGGAATCTATGAGTAAAGAAATTAGAACTGCTCCTGCAAATAAGGAAGAAATTAATTTAATTGGCATTAATGTTTAATAATTAAATAATTATAAAACTTTTTTTTTGTTTCAGCATTGTGAACAATTTGCCTATAAGGAAATATTCCTTACAAGCCACTGCTATAAGAATATTTTGGACTGCACTACACCTACAAGTAAATGTAGGATTTTATTTAACATTTTTATTTCCTTATAAAATAAAATAAATATTTTTTTAGGACTTCAAACTGTTTGTTTTCTGAGATTTTTCTTCAGTATTTGGGTTGCTGTTCTATCTATTGAAGTGGGTACTACAATGTTATTCGAGAATTGTTCTTTCCAAATCATCGACACTATGCAGAAAGGTAGGATTCATTAATTTACCTTTTCCTGGAAATAAGGATAACAATCTCTACATGCAGTTGATTGCTAAAGAAAGAGTTTGTGACATGTAATTGTTTTTTGGGCACTAGAGTGTAGGACTACAAGGTACGAAAAATCTTGTACAAACATTTTTAAGATTTTAGTAGGTTTTTTACACAATCCTAAATAATAAAATGCCTAGTTTCAAGAAATTTTATTTATTGAAGACACACAACTATTGTTGCACCACACAGTGACTACATCAGGTCATGGTTGTTTTGCTTTGTGCGTCCACAGTAAATATTTCTTGAAACTTTGCGTTTTACTTCGTTATATTATGAATAAGTTTCAACAAGTATCAGCATATACCGATCAATAGTTTTATGGTTTCAATTGTTATGTACTTTTTTCGTTCAAAAACAAATTGAAATATTAGAGAAGAAACTTTGTTTATTGATTTTTAAAATAATTATAAATAAGTTACAAAATGTTAACTTTCGCAATAAATTAGAACCGTAAATCATTGATATTTATCTTCCAATCTTACGGTTTATGAGACCCCCATGGTGATCGTTCAATTTAAATTATTCTAGTTCTATCATACATGATATCAAAATAAATAGCAAATCAAATAATGCGAAAAAATACAAAATAAACATGCTGCCATGGGTGGCAATATACAAGTGATCTGAGACATTTACCTTTGTCCTCGTTTGTGCATGAACGGTTTTATATGTCATGTTTCTTCAAGTAGGGGGTGTTCGCCATTATTTTAAATTTCACGGTTTTAATAGAGGTAGTAATAGTATTATAAATTAATTATATTTAAATGTCATTTGATATAAAAAAAATCATTTTAGAGAAGCATTATGCAGATGCCGAACATGGTATATTATGGGACATTTGTAATGTTGTATACCCAAAGTTTATTATCAACTACTGCAACATATACTAAGGTATAGGCATTTAACAGTTTTTAGTTTATAAGCAGACTGACTGCAAAGCTAATACTAACAAAAAACTAAATAATAAAGTAAGCAAAGCACTTTTTTTAAAGAAAATAAATTGTTTGCTTTATTTTTATTGTAATATAAAGCCATTATGATTATTACTTGTTAGTCTAATAAGTCATAGTCTTCAATAGCTTTCATAATAAGAGGAGTTCCGCTGACAATTTCGTCATTAAAAATCACCTTCAGTGTATGATCTCCCCTTATTTTAAGGATAAAATCGACCAAAAAGTTACATTCTTGTCCTGTGATAAATACGGGAACTTCTTTGTTTTCGGGATCAATTATTAAAATATCCAATTTACAAATGCCATTGTACTTAACACCGCTAAAGTCAATATAAATGGATCTCTTCTCATTTACAGGAACTTCTTTTAAATATCCTGTTATCTTGCTTTCTTCGTCCAAAACATGAAATGACTTACTGACATACAGAATTAAATTGTCAGGAAGGTCTTCGTAATTGTCATAAGAAACTCTTACATAATGAGGTGAATTTTGAAGATCTTCATCATTTAGCTTAACATTTATTTTATAGATCCCATACTCACTGACAAGAAACGCTCCACGTATCAAAAACACGTCTAACACGTATAAAGGACAAACAATACGATTCCCCGAAGGACCTTCTACAACTACCGTAAGTTTAAAATTAGAAGTATTAAAAAATCCTCTACTAATAAGAAATTCGTAACGTGTGTTAATTTGAATATTCTGGCCTTTAGGAAAATCTACCGAAATTGGTAAGGTTGGAGGAAATACTGCAATAACAAATGTATATTTTAACGCATTTTTCACCATTCGGTCGTTATAGAAAACGCTAACTTCGTAGTCCCCCCATAAAACTGGTAGAAATGTTATGACAAATGTAGCATCATTTAATTTTTCCACTTTATTCTTAATTAATAAATCTTCGTGAAATATGGATNGAATAGTCTCGTTATCAGTTGCATTTTCCTTGTTTTTAATTTACTATAATTTCTCGTTTTATCTAATTATCGTGATAATTTCTTATAGTGGATATATTTAAAATTTATCAGAATATATTTTAAAATAGCATTATGCAATAACCAACGATTATTTAGTAAAAGAAAGTAATACGTGTTGACTAGAATATGTATTACTATCTTCATCGAGATTAACAGTGTCGTTGATGACGTACTTCCTTCTTGTTCATTTTTTACTGGTCTAGTGCATCTTGTTGTGCGTGGCTTTTATGTGCATTTTTGGTAAAAATTTTGAAAAAGGTAATACTACATACAAAATTTGTACCACAATAGATTCTGGAGTTACGGTTTAACCCCTGGTATGCATTTTTAACACCTAACCTAATTAAATTTTAAATCCATAGATAAAACAAACTTAATGGTCTATAGATCTCAAAAATCTATGACTTGAACATAGCAAACAAGTATGCATTAATTACTAAGTTGGTAATATTATTCTATGGAAGTAGCATATGGTGCTGTTGGTATTGGTCGTATTGGTTAAGAGCGTTATCAATGTTTATGATTTTGTTATAAACAATTGTAATAAATATGATTATAAATGCTGTGATAAAACGTAACGATAAGGCGATATTAATTACCATTCAAGAGAAGAAAAAAGTTTACAAATGTTTAACATGGTATGTACATGAATGATAAACTTATTAAAAGAATAGCGTTAAACAAATGCTGCATAAAAGTTCTTTATTTATATAAAATTTGATAGAATATTTAGAATGTATTATCGGTTGCATGTTTCGGTGTTCATTTCTTCCCCTGATTTCAGATATACTGCAAAACTGAAAAAATCAAAGTCAAGATCGAAACCATCAGTTGGTATAATCGTACCTAGACAAATCTTTTATACCAACAACTGGACAATCACTATGGTAATATTTATTAAATTGATATTATTATTTATAACCCAGCTTAATAGGACTCGACCC